CGTACTCTACATGCCCGTACTCTGCATGCCCGTACTCTACATGCCCGTACCCTGCATGCCCGTACTCTACATGCCCGCACTCTACATGCCCGTACGCTACATGCCCGTACGCTACATGCCCGTACGCTACATGCCCAGGTCCTCAAATATCTACAGATTAAACTGCAGAACCGGGGGGCTTGTTCTTAGATGTTGGTTTTGCACCTTTGTTAAATTTATATTAATGTGGGTGCATTCATATACAGTAGTCCCCCGTATCCCCAGGGGATACAATCCAAGACTGCAGATAATAGCGAACCTGCCGCAGCCCCCACATATAACCTGATTTTCATGTTCATACATAAGTTCAAAGATTAATTGATAAGTTACACACAGTAAGACATTACCAACATTAAATACAGTGGTAATAAAGTACATTGTACATTATTATATAGCGCTGTACAGTACTGTACTCTCGAATGAAAGCTTAATTCTGAAGGACAATAGAGGGATGAAAAAATATCGTGTCAAGGGACAGCAGAGCTTCATATGCACTGCGATTACGCAGCAACAAATGCGAGCATCGAAAACACGAGAGGCAGTCTGGATGAGAGTTTTGCAGGGAAGTGTGGGAATGGTGAGAAAGGGAGAAGTCGTGATGAGCACATCCTGGCCGATTTCACCGTGTTACAGCCTGTCCTCGCTTGGCGCGCGGTTTGAAACTTACGAACCATTTGTTTATGGAATTCTCAGTTTTATTTTCAGAGCGCGGGTAACAGAGATTGCCCATACAGGGGTCCCTCTGTATATATGTGTTAAACTGAAACGGATTGAATGAGCTTGTCTTTCGTCTCTAAATGGACCTCCTGCGTCTGCTATGGCAGCTGCCTCCGGGGACGTCCAGGCCTATCAGATCCGCACGGCCCCCACCAACACCATCGCTCCCGGGGTGGTCATGGCCACCTCTCCCGCCATCCCCGCCCAGGGTGGCGCTGAAGAGGCAACTCGCAAGAGGGAAGTGCGTCTCATGAAGAACAGGTAAGGCAGTGACACCATTAAAACCTACAGACTGATGCTTTTTTACAGTCGGCCAGTCAAATTTATCCCTCCGTGATTCTCTGCTGGTCCGTGTTCATGTTTCTTACGCCTTTCTCCATCTGTATGACTCTCACACATTTACGCATATATTTACACTGAGCATTTTAATAAGCATCTCAGTGCTTCCTGTTTGAAAATAAGCCTTGGCTGTTTGTCTGACATCCAAAGCTGAGCAAATTCCTGTGGTGTATTTCTAAAAAAACAAAGGGCCCCTGTATGTCCTTTTCCCCTTCTGCCATGCCAACATCTGTATTATTCAATATTGAAGTTAATCATGGGAGTACAAAAGTAGAAAATAATCCTGGCTCTCTGACATCCACAGGATTCGCCACTGTACAGTGAGAGTTTAAGGAATGATGTGTTCTGGTACTTTGCAGATGAATTGTAAAAAGTTTGGAGAACCTGGTGTAGATCGACCGACATACTGATCTCAGTGTCATGGGGAAGGTGTATTAAGGATAAGAACTTAAATAAAACAAGAATCACTTTTACTGAGAAGTTAAGCAGTGCATTCGCCCATCGTTCATCCATAAGAATGTTCTGACTGTGAGGTCAGTCTGACCTGCCCTGTTGTAGAAGGCCGACATTAATGCCCCTTTCCGACCGTGTCGCAGGGAGGCTGCCCGGGAATGCCGCAGGAAGAAGAAGGAGTATGTCAAATGCCTGGAGAACCGCGTGGCGGTGTTGGAGAACCAGAACAAGACCCTCATCGAGGAGCTGAAAGCGCTTAAAGACCTGTACTGCCATAAGTCAGAGTAGTCCTCGTCCCGCCGCTCCAGAGACTTAGCCCCCCCTGGGCATGAACATTTGTTTATTTTCTATGTTTTTAAAGCTATGAGCCCCCGATGCAAGAGGCCAACCATAGGAAGTAACTGTAACTCTAAGCTCCTTTGTCTCTTTCTGCTTTTGTGGATCGCAACCTTCAAAGGGGCACCTTGAATCTCGAGTGAGCACCCGCAGTCGTCGCTGAGCGGGATAGTGGCTGGCAGCGGTGCAGACGTGCAGAGCTTTTCCCTGGGGAGGAGTCTGTACCCCTGCGCTCCCCCATGTACAGTTGGCTGGTGCGTGTACTCAGGCAGACTGTCAGAGCGGGACACCACAGCGGCCCCCGGGGAAGGACAGCCGTACTTCTGTCTGCTGGCTGTGTGTCAGAGCCGGCCGCTCGGACGCTGTTGTTGGGAAGGTGTTCTGCAGATTGCTACAGATATTTGTACTGAAATTTCGGCCTGTTTCCCATTTTACCATTTAAGTATTTTTTTAAATAGCTGGTAAGCATGCAGATCAAAAACAAAGTTACGATAATGACAGCAGTTGGGGCTTGTAGGTATCTGAATACTGGCATTTTGTCCCAATCAGGTTAAACCTAGTCGCAGGGCCCCATGAAGACTGACAAGGACAGTCAGGAAGAGCATGAGGAATCTGCTTATAGTCTATTTCTATGCCTGCTCCTTCTTCAGTCTGGCACATTCGTCGCAGGATGTTGCCCAGGTTCTGTCAATCAAACCGTAGCATTACAAGCCAGAAAGGAACCTCACATGGGATCGATAGACTCAGTGCCCCATCCCCCCCGCCCCCCTGCCCGTGGCTTTGTGAATCCATAGAATCCACAGCAGACGCCCAGGAGGTGCCGACCTGAGGTCTGTAAACTGGTTTCCTGTACCAGAATCAGCAATGCCCACAAATCATCGCTCATCTCAGATAATTCTTATTGAAAACGTGCCCCCGTAGAAGAAGAAAAAATCGACCGTTTTGATCTTCATGGTTTCTTCATTGAGTGATGTTAAAGTATAAATTGCCTTTGTTTTCTGGCCTGAAGCATTTCTGTGCATCTCCAATGTGCAGTGTGGGGGCTTTTGGGGGGGGGGGCAGGATACATTGTGTTCATTCATGAGTGCTGTATTTTATCATTCATTTTTATTGTGATATGATTACATAGAGCTGAGGTTCCCAGTTCATATTTTTCCACAGTAGTGTATTTTTGTATTTTTTTTTAGTATTTGTTTATTTTGTATGTCTAGGTCATAACCCGTACATATTTTAATTTACTTGATATAACTAAAATGTGTTCAGAGTTGGGCAGCATGGTGGATAGCACTGTCACAGCACTGTCACAGCACACTTCTAAGAATGCGGGTTCAGTTTTATGTCTGTTACATGATTAAAACATCCATGCATCCAGCTACTCCTGATGAAGATCACTGTGGCAGCATTGCCTTGCAAATTTTTTGGGTCATTTTAATTGGTCATTTAGAGCAGAAACGGGAATTCAACATCTTTCTAACTCAACATCTTTCTAACTTGTTTCCCAGCCCAGTCCTTGTGGACCCCTAGACAGTCCACAGCTTCCTGCCAGAGTGTCCAGACCAGGGGTCTCCAACTCCGGTCCTGGAGAGCTACTATCCAGTAGGTTTTGTATCCTATTTGGCTTCTGATGAGCCACACCTGCTCCTGGTATTTACCTGAGAACAGGTGTGGCTCATCAGAAGCCGGGAAGGATAGAAAACCTACTGGATAGTAGCTCTCCAGGACCGGAGTTGGAGACCCCTGGTCCAGATAGTCCCAGAGGGACAGGCTGGGATACCTGCTGCTCTGTGCTGATCTTGGGCACCAGCTTCATACCCAGAATATCGGACGTGGTGTGTTTAGTTACGTACATGTTACTGTGCATTGAGTTATTCCACATATTAGGCTGTAGTGTTGTATTTTCATTTTAGCAAGTCATGCATTTACTAGTGATTCGGCCATTTTCATTCGCCATTTGATTCTGTTCGCATTTAAGATTCCCAGATTGAGAGAGTTGCTGCATGTAATAAGAAGGGTGTGTTTTTTGCACTGGGTAGGACCCTGATTACAGTTGATTCCTCTGTGTCTGCAGAATGTCAAAGTTCAGATCTGTCTCACTTTTCTGGAGGGGGTGTAATCAGCTTCCAAATGGCCGCTCCGATGTCCCACATTCGTTCTGTATGGTGATATGAGGATGAACTGCTGGCCAAATGGGATAATGAGTGTAAAGTGGAAAGGTCGCTATTTTTAATGTAGGCTATGAAAAGTTTATGCTGTATTATTTAGCCGTCTTTATTTTTATATGTAAATGATTGTTACGGTGTACAGCTGTCCTTGTGTCTTACTTTGTGAGGGGAATGGGCGGCCTGCGGTCAGAGCAGAGGCTCGATTTTCCTCCTCTGCCCCGACACGCGTACCTCCTTACAAAATCTGAGACGTTGGAATTTTCTCGCCCCTCCTGCGACGGAACGACTTTCTTACTCCAGTTTCAGAAAGAGGCATGTGATGCGTTTTCCTTCCTTCAGTCTGGCCTGTTTTAATGCACAGCTTCTATCTGTATCTGCTCAAAAAAAACGTTTTATTGTTTTTCTCAAAATTGAACGGATGTTTCTAATGCAAAGTCATACTTGTCTTACAAAGAAATTTGTAATATTCTAAAAGATATTAACTTCCCCTGTTGGAAAACTTTGAAAACACAACTGAAATGAGATATTCTGTTAAGATTGTTTTCTTTTAAACCTGATGTTTATTACACTCTACCAGTCTTCCCCATCTTGAGCAAACCAGCATTGCAGTGTGTTAAACCCCCAATGCAAAGACGCCTTAACCTTCTCTGTAATTCTGTTTTTTTCTGAGTGTACCTTTTCCATACCTTGTATGCACTGGTATTCGGGAGTCTCACTCTCTGCTCAGCTGTGTCCATTCGCAGACTTTCTGCCAAAGCTCCGTGCAGTAATTGGCATACCTATGCACTTCTGCATACTTACGCATTTCTCAAAATCGCTGCAGTGGTATTTACATTTTAATATCCAATATTCCAATCAAGTTGCCGGTTAGTGAGACGGATGGGCGGAGGCGAGGACAGCCAGAGATATCTGATACATCCCTAATGGTGGCGTTAGCTGATAAGTCTGGGACAGTAAACCTCTAGAGGGACCTGGATTCCAGGCATCTGATGAGCATCTGAGACCCCTGGAGACCCACAGCGACTCCCTTCTGTTCTAAATGTTGACAGGGACCCTGTATATATTATTGGTCCTGTTTAATGCATCAGCACTGTAATTAAGAGCCTATTTGATGCCAGTCTTACTGACCTTTTATAAACATTTATGTAAAGCCACAGTAAAGTCGCTTTGAAAGTCACCCTTTTTGCCTGTTACAAAACCATAAAAAAAAAAAAAAGAAAAACATCCTGACATTAAATTTAACAACAATTTTAGGGGGAGGTGGGATTCATAACAGGATCCACTGTCCTGCCGCAGCTGCCTCAAGGTGGTTTCCGTGGAAACCAGGGACCCTATGAGCAGTGGAGAAGCCCCATTTACCTAAACCGTCGTTCCACCAGAAATCACCATCAGCAAAATCTTAAATCTGAGCTCAACATTTTGATATATGTTTATTTATTTATTAAAATGTAGTTTCAGAGGTGGAAAGTTCAGGTTCAAAAACCAGTTGAGTATAAAGAGTCAGTCACAGTACTCGACTGGTTGATTGAAACAAAATCTTGGTCTGGATTTGTACTTTTTGAACTTTACACCTCTGTAGTTCATAGTCTACTGACAAACTCCAAGACTATTACTTAAAGGAGCACAAACTTTCAAGTGACACCTGATCCATAAATATTATGAAATCCATCTAAGACCATACATACAACATAATAGAAGAATCTGGTTGAAAAGGCGATTAGGGACTGGCCAGGCCAAGTAAAACACTCAACCTCAAACTGGTGGGGAAAGTCGAAAGGCTACAGTGGTCTGGTTTGTCCAGTTGGAGCTGCTGTCCCACCATATCCATCATAGACAGCTTGACGTACAGATCAGTTATTCTGTACTTTGGATTAATTCAGACTCACTTTAAGCTTATTTCTGTTAGTATAATTTACATAGGTTTAACATAGGGTGACTATACATCTTTTTCCTGGACTTGTCCTCTTTTTTGGGACTTAAAAATGCCTGAAATGTCCAGGATTTCGCCTCATTTCATGTTGACATTTGCTTTTTACGGTCAGAATACTTACTGTGTGCATATTTGCGTTGCTTTGGTGCCTCTTTTTTGCATCCTTTCAGGTCAGCCCTAGTCAAATATGACCTGATGAAGGTATAGCTGCTTTCACGACTCCGGTCACAGGCAGAAACCTGCGTGTAAGAGTCCTTCTGTTGTGCTAATTATGATCCATTGTCAGAATGACGAGATCTGCTGAGTGCAGCAACGCGGTCAGTGAAATGAACACAGTCAGCTCAAATGGTCACGAGCACAGTGCCGGTTGCCAAAAACTGCAAAATGGTTCAGCTTTCTGGATGTTGAAGGTATGACAATGAGCCACAAGGGGGCAGAATGTATCCTTGAAAATGATCACTGTTACAGATGATTGCTCACCAAAGCAACAAAATTTCTCAGCTGGTCGTCAAAATTCATTTTAGAACTTGAGCCCAACCAGCGGATGTAGATTTTAATGTGGGTATATCTGCAAGTGCCTAATTAGACTCATATTAAACGACGCCTTGTTGCTACTTCCTCATGAAAGGATGGCGTTGCAAACATCGTTCAATTTCAATTTCAATTTCAAAAAACTTTATTTGTCCCCGAGGGCCAATTTAAAAGGCATCGTTGGTGGCTGTTTGCCTACTTTAGGCTTCCAGTTCAAAGAATTTCCAAACGGCCGACTTCTCAATAGTTTATAGTTTCAAGCCATAGCTCAGGCCTCCAGTAGCATGTGAGGGAACCTTTCAATCTGCAACTTACATAAATTAGGTCCAAATACTGGGTCTAAAAATTAACACCCAAACGTTATATTTAAATATTTATCCACGTTCAAAAAAAGGTCATATTTAGGAACTAAGGGATGGCATTTCAGGTTAAAACTGCCACAATCAGTCTACAAAAACAGATCATAGTGCACAAAGTTACTTTGTGAGGAGATTTTGCTTATAAGTGAAGCACATGGTGTTTGTGTGTCAACAGCCAATTAAACTGGAAAGGAGACGACAATTTATCACCATTCACATATGATACAGATGGAGTAGGTGTGGGTAATAATGAAGGAGGCACGACCTGAGTAAGTGCATCTGTTGGTATGGCACACATTCCATTATGTTGTTACAAGCAAGTCCTTTTTATCCACTTTTGGTTCAGGATATTTACTGGCAAAACAATTCAGTGTATGCATTTCGCTCGAGGGTGCCTGCTGTTCTTAGAACATTACAGCCATAAGTTCTGTGCTATAACAAACGACCTGCCCTGATTTATACTCACATTATGTTTAGCTGATTGGTGGATACAGCTCAGTCTTCGGGATTGTGGCCTTGGTCAGCGTTGCCACAGGACAGCCCGACTACTGAACTGAACATCTTCGGAATCCATCTCCTTAACCTTTCTGACCAATGACTTCTCAAGAAACCACCAATCAAGCAGAGTTGAAGACCCAGGCAAAGAGTAGATCAGATGACGTCAATGTCACTTTGAGAGCTAGATGATCAACTCTGAATCTGAAAAGTCCAAAGTCCAGAAAAGGGATGTTTTCAGTCGGTTTGCAAAAAAGCCTGTATGAAACGGCCCATACGCATTCCATCCATCCATCCATCCATTATCTATACCGCTTTATCCATCTGGGTCGCGGGGAAGCTGGAGTCAATCCCAGCATCATTGGGCGAGAGGCAGGGTCCACCCTGGGCAGGCCACCAGTCCACCACAAGGCCCCCATACGTCTTATTACATATTAACTTTTACATACATACATTCATTCATGTCCTTGATGGAGCTCCTCCTGTTCTTATGGACTAAAGGATCTTCTAGCAGGCCTTCACTGGTCCTCAGACGGTTCCCTGTCTTAAGTAGCGCCCAGCCCTTAAACACAGATGCTACAGTACTCCAGGTCGAGTCCCAGCAGCTGGTCACAGGTTATAGCTTCTGCTTATCGGGCAGAGGGTCAACAGGTTCCCGTATGTGTGCAAACCTACACAGTAATATTAGAGCACTCACGTGTGCGCGTCTGTGTGTGGCCCGGCGACACAGTGAGGTCTGCAGGTGAAAGAAGGGTATGTTTGTCACACAGTGTGATATTCAGGAGACAAAGTGGCCATTGTAATCTATACAGAAGCTATGGCATGTTCCATTTTTGATTGGCCTAAATATGGCAAAATTAGCATAAGATTTCAGATTCTTTGTATATCGCTTCTTCGCTACCGATTTAGACGTA